AAAACTCTACTTACAAATTCATTTGGTTACTTCATTCAAGCATTTCCCACCATTTGACTTCAAGAATACATCTTGCAACATCACAATTTGTATTAGCTCACTTTTACAAAGCATACAAATACCCTTGCAATCAAACCGTCACACAATCCCTTTCCGGCAAATGGACCTGTTCGTTTTCATTTCGTCTCGCTAAATCATCCTTATGCTATTTCAGCGTAGCGAAGTTTGATATGTGACAAACAACCCGAATTGATAAACGCGTGGCCATGGCTCTCATTGGCGCGGCGCTTTGAAGCAATGTGCTATGGTTGTGGAGGATAGTTAGAAGAGGATGTAAGCCTGCTTAGTTTCAAGATGTTTGCTGATGAGATTTATAACTGGGGAGAGGATGGAAGCATTTGTGAGGAATAAATAGAGTAATTACAGCTATTTTAATTGGTGAAGAGCCAGGTGAAAGGATAATGGTGCATGAAGTAGTAGTCAGAGAGACTGACGATCGTCGCTATGCTACCTTAATCAGGGTTTGATTTTCATCTCACTTCGAATAAAATTATAGTTTCTCATTGCTCTCAATATTTCTAAATCCTTTTTTTTTAACAATATTCAATAACACAGGGCGAGAACATTTTACACTTAACAACACTTTCCGGATTTTCATCATTTTAGCAAGATATCGTGAAATATTCTTATTGCAGGGCGTTGTTTATAGCGGAGGAATTTTGGGGATTATCTTATTTGCTCGAAAAACACGAATGGTACTCTTTTAGCTTTTCTTATGGGGGTAATTTTAAGTTATTCTGAGATATCAAACCATCTCAATTTTTTGCGCTCTCATTTTGCATGCTCTTGCCAGAGATTTTCTTTTTGGAAGAGAAACAGACTGTTTGTTATGTGTGAAATTTACTGATTTGTTTAACCAGGTGTGGTTGTTCAACTTGCATCAGGGCAAGTCATCGATGGTAAGGAATAGCATTTCAGGGGTTCTGCATTTTCCATCGGTTTGCCGTGCAAATTCTGAAACATTTACTTTCCCGTTAATCATTGTGGGAAATGTGTACTACATTTCAATCTGATTTTACGAATTTCAGTTTGCAAGGTATGAAAGGGTGTCAGAGATACCGCTTGAGGTATACAAAAAGGGAATTGAACTGAAAGGGATTGTTCGTGCTGTTCATTCGAATGGTTATATGAAAGTTGAGCATATACCAGCATTCACGATGCCGAAATTTCTTGCCAGAAGGAAAGTCCAAGTAATGCTTGGATCTAATATTTCGAGTCCGTAAATAAGAGAGAGGTTGCTTTCATAGTCAGTCAGTTGAGCAATTTAGGTAATTTATTGTTGCTGAAGATAGAGAAGAACATGTTTATACAAATGGTTAAAGTATTTTCAAATCACTTTAGAAATATTGTGTAGCCAGGATTGCTGGACGTACGACTTGCGGGTGTTGATGTTTCGGATGCTGGTTCGGAATATCTTGCGAAAGATCTGCGCCTGCGTAGTAGTCATATACTTTTCACTCCCATCAAATCAGTTGAAAGTAACAGATGCATCGATGCCGAAATTTTTTTGCGGAAAGTCAATCTTTGAGTTCTTTAGTTTTTCAGGATGTAATCTGACTTTAAAGTTAATATGTTTACACGACAAGTTTGTGTGCAAATTTGCTTCATACAATCTTTGCAGAAGCGATTTTCGCAAACAAATTTAAATGTGGATTTGGTGCGTCAAGGTTTTGCACGTATCATACCATTGCATAATTCAGAACATGTGAATGCATTGAAGAGTAACCCCTCATATTCAAGATTGATGTCGAAATTGATCATGTCCGAAAAGGTCTTTTTTTTTCTATATTATGAATGACTAAAGAAAACGATGGTTTGATGATCAAACACAAAAATGTAAGAATCTTTTCAAATTAAAATTGAACATTTCGTAGAATTCTTTAGCTTAGTATTTAGCCAATCTTCATTTGTGGAAATTCTTCAGATTGCGGATCGTCGAGGATTGGGCTTGTGGACTCGTGATACATGGGCAGAAGTTGTATTTTCATATCCTGTTACTTTCAGACAGATCATTCGCTCGGCAGCAATAACAAGATTTCTGGTAATTTCGAAATCGTTGTGAATTGTTAATCAAATAAACTTATGCAATTCCATCATTCTGGAAGGGTACTTACGTATGTGCAGTATTTTAACTTTCATTCTATTCTGACAAAATATTGTATGTGTTAAGAATAAATATATTATCGATTTAATATTATCGACCCTACTGGTGAATTTTTGGCAAATGTTCTCGTTATGAAAGATACCACGTCTCACAATCCGTATTTCCGTCCATGTTCTATAATATGCTAAAGTATCTTGCTATTCATTCTAGGAGTTGTGAGTCCTGTCTAATTTACAATGTGAATTGTTTGTAATGTTTAGGTTACTACTGCAGTTGTTGGCAAAGAAATGTTTATCAGTGGAAGTCGTATATCGAAACAAGCAATTAAGATCGTGATTGGTTTAAGTCAGAAAACGTATATAATAGTGCAGCAGTTAGCGAATGCATCGTTTAGATTAAACAGTATGATGAAAAGGAGAATTAATAAGTTTTCATCGAAATAAATTTGCTGGGAATTATTGTAAATCATATTCTAATCTCTAGTTGATTTGGAGTATATTTCAAGTCATTTGTATTAGTCGTCGCTGAAGTATGCATATATTCATGTTTTTCAGTTTCTTAGATATCGCTCTTTATTAGGTTCGAAGTTAGGGTTTGAAGAATGTTACTTAATGTGTTATGTTGTTCGATTTACTCATAAATACTAAACGATATGAGTGAAAAGTATAAAGAAGTACAGTGATAAAAATTTCATGAATAGCTCTTTCCATTGGTCAACTTAGCAAATGTATGTATCATTTCATATATTTGCAACTATTTTTGTAAGTGACGTTTTCATATTTCTTCCTAGTTGATTTATAATGTTGCATACCTATAAAGTAATAAAAGCACTATTTAGGTCTTCTGCTTCATATTTGATTGTAACTGAGACGGTTTCAATTTTTCAGAATTCCTATGTTAAAAAAATTTTTTTAATCTCTTGGCTTTTAGATGGCTAACTTCGAAAAATTATTGCTGGACGTTGGTCCGAAGGGTCTCGCTCTTATAGCTGGCACTGTTGCTACTGGCTTGGGCATAAAGGAATCACTTTTTTCTGGTATTTTCACTTTTTCGAATTGTTCTGACACCATAATTTCTGCAAAAATAATTAGATAGAAGGACTTTGTGGATCCCTAAAAAAAATTTGTACTTGTTGAAATTCCCCGGTTCTTGGATAGACTTCCCTTATTTTCGGGAACTTCAGGGTTTTGTATTTACTCCAACAGTCTGATTATATGTATGCAAAAGATGAAAATTTTGTGAAACTGCGAAGTCGAGCTGTGGTTAATGTTTAAGAGAAAATTTGCAGTTGACGCTGGACACAGAGCAATAATGTTCAACAGAATTGGTGGTGTTGGTGATGCTGTCTATAAAGAAGGACTGCATTTCCGGGTACCATGGTTCCAATACCCAATCATATATGATATTCGTGCTCGTCCCAACCAGATTCGTTCACCAACCGGAAGCAAGGATTTGCAGGTATTTTTCTATCGTTTTATTTTTTTCTTTCTTCTATTGCATATCTGCTTTTGGAAATATCCTGTCGGCAAGCTAATCTGTTGAATTCGTTCTTCAGCGATATAGATTTATTCGGGATGAACTGTTGTTCTTGCACAGTATTACTAGTTGACAACAACAACAAGGGTGTAAATATATATCTATATATAACGCGGTGAATTGGTAAGCAGTGATAAATGACTTATACAATAGGCAACCAATATGATCAATTAACAAATTCCTTGTCGTTGCCTTCGATAATTGACTGTCGCTTAGTTGATAGGTCGTTAAGTTGGGGATATGCTACAGGGAATGTATTTAACGAATAGAAGGAATATCGTAGTTTGTTGTCCAGTGATGGTGGATCTGGGAAGATTTCGTTGTAGTTCAGTCGTGGAGAATAAGCGTAGAAGATATATCGTCTGCTCGATTGTAAAAACACTAACTCCTTTTGGATTTCTCCATATATATATAAAAGGATTGGGGAGGAGTTTGTAAACTTCATCGGGGTTATCACGGAGGTATGGCTAGCCTTTCGCACTGTCCATTGTGTAGGTACAATGATATCTTTTGTGTTAGCTTATATCCTCTTCATCGCTTTAATTTTACTTGTAAGATTTCCTCACCCTGTCTGTTGGATATTGTGGAAATTTTATTTGAGCATAGCTTTAATTTCGGTAATCCGATACATCCTTTTGGATGGAAGATGTATTTGCTACCCAGCCACAAATTACAAGAATATTGCTTACCGTTGTGTTCTAAGATATTATGCTATTCAAAAAACAAACACTTCAGTTATTATCATGTTTAAATATTCAGATGGTGAACATTGGTCTGCGTGTTCTTTCACGTCCCGATCCTTCATCATTACCAAAAATATATCGGATGTTGGGACAGAATTGGGAAGAAAGAATTTTACCTTCAATCTGCAATGAGGTTTGTGATCCAGGGTTCGAAAAATTCATGCACTACAGCAGTCTAAAATACAATTCGGAAAATGAAAGAGTCGAGGGAGCAAGTTTGGTCGTACATTTAATGCGTCACGATATTTAAGCACATTGGAGGACTTGGAGAGTATCATCGGTTACAGGACTTTTATGGAACTTTTAAATCTAAACGAAATAAAATCTTTGCTTCCTTTGCAAAATATTTTGAGTGGTTAGTAAAGTCAAGCCCATTATTTACAGAACCTTTCAAAGCACTCATGGAACCCTATTAATGATAATGGAAGGTTGAGTTTGTTGTAACTGCCGTTTTTCTTTTTTGCATATTATTCGTAAAACCTCCAAATCTGTTCTACATTTTTGAAATGCTTCTCTTTACAGGTGCTCAAAAGTGTTGTAGCAAAGTTTAACGCTTCCCAGCTGATAACGCAACGACAGCAAGTTTCTTTACTCGTTCGTAAGGGTCTCATCGGTAAATGTTATTTGTTTTTGGTTTGGTAACTGCCAGTATTTTTTGTATTCATTTTTCTTTTTGACGTCGTTTAATCAAAATTCGTTTTTTTTTTAATCGTTTTATCAAAACTCGAAGAAGTCCGTTTTAAAGAGATTGATTGGTCAAAATTTTTTTCAAGAGAGAGCGCTGGATTTCAATATTATTTTGGACGACGTGGCAATTACCGAGTTAGCTTTTTCGCCCCAGTACTCAGCTGCTGTAGAAGCGAAACAAGTTGCTGCACAAGAAGCTCAACGTGCATCATTTCTGGTTGAAAGAGCAAAACAGCAGAGGCAGGAGAAAATCGTCCAGGCTGAGGGTGAAGCCCAGTCTGCCAAACTTGCAAGTTGATTTCCTTGTCACTTTTGTAACTTCTTTGAAATTTTGTTCCTTTAGAATTCTTTTTTTCTGTTTTGTGTAAACGTCGTTAATCTTGGCGAAACTGAGCAGTCCAAAAGTTCTCGCTGTAAAAAACGACGAAAATTACTGAAGTACAGCTATAAAGACATTATATATGAGAGTGGTAAAATATAAATGTTTTTCAGGATATGTGCACAGTTTTCTGTCTTTGCCATGTCCGTGCAAATTTCAGTTTTGTATTGATTCAGACGTCGTGTTTTTTAGATAGGCGAAGCAATTAGACGAGATCCGGGGTTTTTAAAGTTGCGTAAAATTCGTGCAGCTCAAAAAATCTCAAAAATCATATCAGAAACAGCGAACAATAGAGTTAGTTTTTCATTCGAGCAAGTCCTCGAAAATTATTTATATTTGTAAAATTTGGTCTCCAAATCATCGGGAATTTCTTTCTGCCTTTCATTTCGAAGATATTGAAGTTATTGGTATGTTTTCAGCTACTTTTTTTGGGTGTGTTGGTCCTTAATTTGAATAATTCATGTATTTTAACTTACAGGTCTATCTACCATCCGGGGGTCTCATGCTAAATATTGCTGATGAAGATTACCTGCATGTTGATAGTAAAGACAGGTTGAAGCGATGAAATCACTGCCGAAAAGTTGTGAACATTGGTATTGAAAATTTTGTTAATTTTGTTCCTTAATCATAATTCCATTTTGCTGCATTTTAAATAAAGTGTTGGAATCTTTCTAGCTGCATGCAGTACGATGGGTAATGAGAGGAATTTGGCAAAAATAAGGATCTTGAGCATTTATGAAATATAGTCTTGGATGTCGTTGCGATATATTTGCATTTTGATCTGGGGTCAGTAATTATTGGAGCAGAATTCAGGGAAAGAATTTCAGAGGGATTTCAACAAATAAAAATCGAATTAAGGGATTCCAACAAATAATTGAATTCTAGTTCGCATGAAATCAGGATCGGAGACGTCTGATATCGTTATGAGTTTGTCGGTTTGGATATTATGCAACCTTCTTGATATTGCGCTTTTTGATAAGACTAAGGCGAAAGCATTGCTTGATTTCTTTGAGTACATTCCAACATGGCAGCATACTTATATCTGCCTGAAAAATTCCTTTTCCTTGGAATTCTTTGCTAAAAATGCATTTTAAGACTATTAAAAACTAAACTGTGAAATTAATCCTGGAATTGCTCTTCAGCACTGAAATTCTTATATTATGACGATGTGAATTAGATACAGAATCGACCATAAAACCTGAAATTTGGATTCGGGAGTCATTTGACAGAATCCCAAACATTTGTCACCAGCAGTTGTCTGTTGTACGCCATTTGCACGGCAGCAGTTCGTGTGGTCGGAGTCCTGAGCAGCACATGACAATAATCTCCGGTCGTTACTTCGGGGGCATGGATCGGAGCCAACAAACATTGCCGTCAGCTATAATATGTAGAAAATCATGCAAATTTTAATGTAGTAATTTCACATAGCAGTTGGAGGATAAAATTTGCAGAAAGTGAAAGGTTAATTTCAAAGTCTTATTATTGCATTATTTATTCGATATCCTTCGGTAGGATGATGGAAATCATTTTCTTGAATTTAATTTTTCGATCTAGTCAACTACTTCCGAAGAGCAGTACATAAGTATTTATATTCAATGTATTTGTAAGCTACATGTCCTCAGCTTGTAGCAATACTGATTGAAGTAGCGCGAACAATTACAAAGTAAGTGTGATATCTGAAGATTATAGATACGTGGAATGCATTATATGAAATTATTCATTCTAGCGACATGAAAATCTTTCATTTTCACATCATGGCAAGTGTATTGTGGTGGTGTGCTAAACTCTATTATTTGTGGCATCAAATAAGTGTCCATGTGGTTACATTTTAGCCTTCACATACTACAATTAGATTTCGAAGTTCGTGATATCTTCATATGCCTCAGAACTGTTATTTCTAACTTAATTTGGTAACATATAAATTGGCCTTACACAAAATAATGGAATAATTTTCAAGAGAGAGGTTATCACAAAAGACAGTGTTTATCCTAAAGGTACCATGACATCACGGATTCATCAAGATTTTTATCATGTAGTCTGGTCTTTATCTCCTCTCTTCCATTAACAATTAATAATTTTGATATATCATTAACAATTAGCACAAATGAAGTCATATATCAAAGTCCTTCTTAAATGATGTAATATATGGCTAACTAAATTAGATGTTCACAGACAGAAATGAAATTGAATCGTGAGAGAATCAAGAAAGGTTACCACTCTGCGGTCCAGAATATCAAAATTACATCGCGATTCACATTTAGAATCCACATTTCTTTTTTTGCAACATTCCAAGAAGGCATCATTGGCACTCTGTAATGGCACTGGCATATTTAATAAGCGATAGGTGGTCATAGCTTACATAAGTCGTCTGATCCTTAAAATATTTTGCAAGTTGGATATTATGAAAACAACTGACAAGTAAAACCTCTTCAATATCCTCCGTAGGCGTTCGGAATTGATCTTGTCGTTTTAGTGATGCGTGAGCTGGTTGTAGCATCGTTTGAGATGCTAAAACCGGTTCAAGAATTGTCTTATCGAGAGTACTGATGTGGGATAATCTTTGCGGCACAAATTTCTCTGCTGGAATCCTCGGCCTAGGTGTAACCGGCATCTGTGATACTTTAACTGCTTGCAGTTCTGCTGTAGGCTGAATCTCAGATAATTGTTCTCTGGAAAATTAGTTTATAACAAATTAAGCAATAGTAACCCAAGTAGAAGTTACGGAGTCCATAACGGTGTCATCGCCGTATATTATCTGTGTGAATTTTAAAATTCAAATTAATATTCCAAATTATGATTACAACGACTTACAATATATGAGGTAACACAAATTGTCGAGAAGATGGTGGATGCTTAGACATTGAAGTATTATGCTGTTGCTTATTTGACATGGTTGAACCTGGAACTTTTGTTTTGATAAATGCTAACTTGACACTGACTCTAACACGTTCCAGTAACTATTCTGTCTCTGCCTTACATTTGTTCTAACGCCAAGTATTGCGGATTCTTTACCTGGTTGGGATTCCGAGGATGCATGGTGATGATTATTTATTTGGGGAATAATCCCTGATATCGCTGAAGCTTTGTTTCGACTCACTGAAAAACTTTGATGGAATGATTGGTAACGGTTGCTGTTCGGAAAAGGTAAGTGCTTGGAAGCATCCGTTTCATTTACTGCCTTCTTGTCCACTCTGAATGGAGTAAGCAAATCGCGGTGTCGTACATTATTTTCATGTCGTAGCATTCGCATATTCTAAAATAGTTGCTTCTGTATCATGTTAATCTCTTTAAAGATCATCTCGTTATCTTACTCTTCCCTATATTCAGGTTCTCTATTTCATATCTAACAAAAAAAAAAGAATTTGAAAGAAAAATGTCATGACAATTTGAATGAGTAATGGATCTATTTTATACCATCTATCTCTGATAAACTTTCATTCCTAAATGATCTCTTTCATCAGTTTTTAGTAAAGCCACTAAGAAGTTATTTGTGGCTTCAATCATTCAAATTTTTGTTATACTGAAAATAATATGAATGGTAAAGGAAATGATCCGTGGAGAACCCTTGCATTCAACCTTGTTTTCATATTACCATAATCTCAAAACATAGCAAAATTTTGGGAAGGCATAAGTTACGTAAAGTACTCCTGACACTTTACAATATAATAGAGTTGCAGATAAAATTAAAAATCAAATTAACTGTAATATAATATTATAATTAATTATACATAATTTTGAACTGTATTAAAAAATTCAAATTTGTCGATATGATACTGTGCCGTAATCAAAAGAAACAATCAGTGAAACTTTCGCTTGGCTCAACATGTAAGGACCGTCTAGAATGCTTTCTCTCCTTGGCCCTGCTAATATTCCTATCTCATCAGCTTTTTAAGCTCTTCGATACTTGAAGAAAATAATCATCTGTAAATAGCGCCAACCACATATGAAACTGATTCTGGTAATTGCTTCTGCTGTTGAGGCTCATGAACCGATGATAATATATTTCTTTGAAGATTTGCTGGACGATTTTGTTTTCGCAATTGTGTTGAGACGGATACTTTTTGAGGGTGCAGTGCGAAAACCGAAGTGTTTTGTGATGGCTGACTTTGAGATGCTAATGGTAATAAGAACCAGGTCTGCTGCCCCATTACACCTGCAAATTAATTTGATTTTCTATTCCTGTTCTTATTCAAATTATTTGCTTTATCATTATTTTACATTGCTTCATCCTAACTCAAATTCCATTATTTGATATCATTGTTAGTTTGGTTGTTTTCCAATGGAATATGTCCAAAGTCTGGAAAATGCAATCATGAAATGTCAAGGAAAAAATCCGACGACTACCTATAATTCCCTTTTTATACCTTAATTAGAACGAAGTAATTACTGATAATAGCGGTGTCCTATAAGATAGGCAAAAATCCTTCAATAAGTTTTTTAATGGGTCGTTGGTTTTAACTTTCCGACTAACGAAAAAAGCGTTTCTCGGGTAGACGCATTAATGTATGTGCAAGATTATGATAAAAATTACCTGATAAAGTGATAACAAGAAGTAGAAACATTCGGGCATCAATGTCTTTTTATCTCCTTCTTCAATGTTCCTTCTTTCTAATATGCTTATGACAGCAATCACTTGACCCTTAATTTCTCTCATTTGAAATTTCAGTAGATAAAATAAATCTTCAAGGGCTGACACAAAACTATCACTATTACCACTACTACTACTACTACTACTATTACTACTACTACTACTACTGCTACTACTACTACTACTACTACTACTACTACTACTAGTACCAATAATAATACTAATACTGATATACTAATACTAATAGCAATACCAATATGTTAATACTAATATAATACTAATACTAATATACTAGTACTAGCACTAATACTAATACTAATAACATATTAATGTTAATATTGATGCTAATACTATTTTAATAGCATATATCAACCAAAATAATGTTTTTGAAAGTTTTGGAGAGGAATTATAAGAAGCAATGAGCAACTTGTTTTGCCGATAACGAAAAACAGCAAAAATACAGTGAACTTCCATTCACTTTGCTCTGTTTCCTCCGCTTTTGTTAAACTTCTGAATTCAACTGATACTACTGCCGCAGTTTTTCTCTGATGTTGAAAAGGTAAACTGAAGTCGATTACTGTTTTCTTTATCCCTTTTTCTTTTCATAAACGCTTAAAACGTGTTTTTAAGCCTGTGTAAATGCAATGATGTTTCCTGCCATGCATGTCAACGAATGTCCATCTATCCGATTGCTAACCAAACCCACTCACTATTATTACAACAACAGCTTGTCTTATCATTTTATACTTGCCCCTTTTTAGCTTGTTTTGATTTTTGAAAAGGGAAGTATTGTCGAAGCTTCCGTTTGTTCATCCGTACACGTACTTTACTCTCTACCATTCCTTCCTCTTTCATTTTCGTCCTTCCTCCCTCCCTTATTATATTTCTCTGATAATTTCAAATGCTATGTGATATTGGTCTGGAAGAAGTGTTCGCAAACAGATTGCATTCTTTCACGCTCAGATATATATATATATATATACTTTAATCTGCAGTTCGATAAGTGTTACAAATTGACGGAGTCGTCATAAACGTGATTTGAAAATGAAATTATAATATAATTTTGTTTCCTTTCAGCCAATTTTTTTTTTCGTTTCAATCGTTATTGATAAGGGAAATGGATCGCATTTTCCCATTAGCAGCATTTGAAGATTTCGATCTCAAGATTAGGGCAGTTTAAATTGAGATTAAAGGAAATTGCTGCTTGGACTGAACTGATTTCAATGTATTTACGGAGGAAACAAGGCGTTTTTGTGCCTTGTTTGTTCTGAAATCACATGATTTCACTAATTTGTTTTACAAACTTATAAAATTAATGCACAAGTTTATATCCAATATTAATCGCACGGTGAATGTCATTAATTGGTGCGTGTGTAAGTGTTGATGTTTGTTATTAAGTTTCTTCTTGAGTTCTGCGTACGCATTCAGCAACCTTCTTTTTAAATGCTGGATAATTTTCACGAAGCATTTTCTGGAATATTCTGGAAAATCCGCTTGCAAAGTGTTTCATCATTTATCACTCGTTATCGTTATCAACGAAGTAGAAGAATTCTATTTGTAGGCTAAGATCTTGAAAAGGAAGCAATGGGAGAAAAGCCAAGAAGCTGGAAATCGAAAAATTGCTCAAAATGGAGTAGACGGTCGAATCCATAATGTTATTTTATCAAGTGCACTTCCCGTGTTAT